CAACAGCAGCAGCAGCAGGTGGCGATGACGATGACGGCCGCAAGGCTTGCGGCCGTCATCGTCATCTTGGCGACCTTCTCCTCCACGAGCCCCGCGACTGCTCGAGCTCGGTCCAGGTGGCCCTCACGTCCGGCCGCCTCCATCATCAGCTCCAGGAGGGAGGTGGCCAGACCGCCACGTGCGGCTGATGCGCTGGTGGAGGGCGCGGGACACAAAAAGATCAGCAACAAAATGTTTTAACCACATTTTACTCGATATAATCATTGGTGTAATAATAAATAATAAATGAATAATAAGTAAGTAACAAAATAAACAATAATGTCTATACAGGGCATACATACAGTAGTAAGTTCACAGTATACATACACCGGTTAGGCACTCCTGGTAGAGCACGCATCAATGCCCCCGGGAGATCCCGGATCGAGACCTGTTCAGGTTAAATAATCCTTCCAATGATGTAAGAAAAATGTCCCTAGTCGAAGGACGATGTTGACCTGGGAAAAAGTAAACTTGGAATGGAGTTGAGTCGCCGTCGATCCGGCAAATTCAGTTAAGTGCCGGTGGTGGGTGCGGAACCTAGGCGATCCACTGAGAAGTTGACTAGGGTGACTGGATGAGGTTGCCCCGAAATACCGGGGAAGGCAGGGTTTCGCAGGGTAGCGGTCACGGGTGAAGATATGACCCCCCTGCCCCCACACATCATACAGTAGGCAAGGCGGGATGCTGCATGGAATGCCACAACATACAGTAGGCATTATGTAACGTTTTGGAAGCTATTAGGAAGCTAATAATAGCATTATAAAGAATGAGGCACTAGTCATTCGTTCGTTCACTTCAGGAAATTGAATTTTGAGATGGAATTCGGTCCGAATCAAACCGACCCGTGGAAGCACAGCAGGCACGGCATGGCGTGCTATAGCTAGGCAGGGGTTATTTAGCGGGAGAGCAGGAGTTGTACGGCTCCCGGGACAGTGACGATGCCGTGTCGCATGCTACTTGTCGTACGCCAAGTTCTATGCCGTACCTGCGGACCACAGGCTCCAACTGGCGTGGGTCCCCGCACAGCATGGCGGCACCTGTACGACACGACCTGTACGACACGACACCTGTACGGCGAAACACACATATAGACTAACACACGTGTGGGGAGGCAAGAAATCCTTTCTTAAGAATCACATGACCAAACCGCCGTACAGCGGTTGCCTTAACTGCTCCTGGGCACAGCGCCTGGCGTGGTTGCTGGTCAGGGGAGCGAAGTCCGGGCACCGGATGAGAAATGCCGCACAGTCAGTCTTCACCGACGAGTGTACGACAGTACGTCCCCGGTCCTCCAGCCGTACCTCCAGGCGCTCGGAGCGTCAACGGGATGAGTACCTCGGGCAGAAGGGCCTGCGAGGACTCGCCGGGGGAGGGCGGATTTGAAAATAAAAATAAATGTAAATTAAAAAAATACATTATATTTTACTTTTTTTACTGGACAGACGGACGGGAAACATAATCCAGTCAAGTTTTGGAAAGCCGTAAATGACATTCGCCAGGAGGCCCCCCTCCACTTCCCTTCCTAACCCCGTCCCACTCCGCCCCCCCAGAGCCCTCCGCGGCCAGGAAAGCACCTGGCCGGCCTCGTCCACCAGCACGTGGCTGAACAGGACGGCGCTACTGCCATTGCTGCTACTGCTATTGCCGCCGCCGCCGCCAGCATTGCCGGACGCGGATGCCTTCCGTGCAGCCTTCAGTTGTTGCTGCTGCTGAATTGATCTCAGGGGCTGCAGGAGGGCGGAGCTCTCATGCAATATTCCCGCGGCGCTGCAGCTGCAAACGACCACCTGTGTGTATGTATGTACGTGTGTAGGGCGGGAAGGGGGATGAGAGGGTAGTGTTGAGAGGGTAGAGATAAGGAGGCCCGAGCGGGGGTTTCAACCATGTACGGCAAGGATGGCAAGTATTATCCCCACACTTGTGCGGAACTTGTAACTTGTAACCTCAGGAAGGTTATGAAAGTAAATGTTCTTAGGCAACAAATGCTATGGGGGCTATTCACTACTTCGTTTTAAAGCGCGCAACAAAGGAAATGTTGTAGGAGTAGCAACAATGTTCATAGTACGCCAAGATATTACGGTAGAAGTACGGCAGCCTTTACCTGTGCACGATCGAGTTCCTGAGGGGTCGGTTGCCGAAATGCGGCGGTCGCCTCATCGATGAGGCAGTACGGCAGTACGTCAGCCTTAGCCTCAACCACGCGCCTGTGCGCGGAGAGGGCAAACAGAGTAAACACGAAATGAAAAAGACGTGGGGGACATGGGGGCCGGAAGGCCGGAAGGATGCAGCGATCAAATCTTGTGACAATGCCGATAAGCCGGATCAGTTACAAGTCCAATTTTGACCCAATATGCAGTTTTGCAAATGGGAAAAAATAGCCGCTGACACTGCCAATAAAATGGCAGTACGGTGTACGGCCTGTACGGATTACCAAGCAACGAACCTACCTTCTCGGGTCGTTAAGCCGCAACAGCCGTCCGCCGCCCGCCAGCTGGTCCCAGCACCGCCTGCAAACAAACAATACAACGGTGGAGTGCATCACGGGAATGTACGACAGGTTGTAGCAGGTTGGGGCCGGGCACAACATGGTTATGCTTGCTAATGCGTTGTTCATAGCTCCGTTTCTCGACCTGTCAAAAACACGTGCCGTACATCCCGCGCCCCTTCATCCGCCTACAAGCGAATGCCGTACTCTCCTCCTCCTCCTCCCCCTCCCCCCCTCCTCCCACTAAACGAACCCACTCCACAATCCATAATGTAAACTACGCATCTTCTGTCTTACTGCCGTACTCACGCCAGGCTACTCGTGATTAGATCGGCGCTGTAGTTCTTCGGGGCCGCCAGTAGCAGCTTGGTGGAGCGGCCGGCGGCGGCGGTGGTGGCGGAGGAGGGGTAAAAAGGGAAGGAATGCTGCTGGCGGCTGGTGCCCCCGGCCCCGGCCCCGCCACTGCTGGTTCCGGAGCTGGGCCGGCACATCAAGGGCGCGAGCTGGGGAAGCTCCGCTGCCTTCAGGATTTGAAGAGCGCACTCCACGAGCGTTACGGTCTTGCCGGTGCCTGATCGGGACAGACAGACAGACAGACAGACGCGTCACACAAGTAGAGCCTCCCTACCTAGCCGCCAAGACTAAATCAAAGTGCGGAAAGAGAGCAGTAAAACCGAAAGAGGGGTCCAGAAAGGAGGAACGAAATGCAGTTATTATGGGCCAACGGTCACTGGTCAACCGCCAACGGTAAACCTACCTGGCGGGCCGAACAGTACAAACGGAAGGTCACGTCCGGCGCCGCACAGCATCGCAGCGCACGCAAGCCGTTGCTCCGGGTTCAGTGCCGTACCGCCCATCAGCCTCAGCTGCGCCGCCACCTCCGCCAGCTCCTCGTCGGCGGCTGCACCAGGAGTGCCGACCTCCACCTCCTCCGCGTCCTGCTGCTGCTGCTGCTGCTGCTGCGGCGGCGGCGGCGGCGGCGGCGGCGGAACCGCAGGAAACAATTCGTCTGGGAAGACGGGCAGACCCGCCTGACGGGACGCCGTGTCCGTATCAAGCTCCTGCGGCGGCGGGGGCGGCGGCGGCCGCAGCTGCTGCGGCCGCAGCGCTGCCCGCAGCAGCGCCTCGTGCATACGGACAAAAGGCGTGCGGTCGAAGGAGAAGGCGCAATGCGCTAGTGGCGCCCCTGCCGGCGCCCCTGCCGGCACCGCTGCCGGCACCGCTGCCGGCACCGCTGCCGGCACCGCCGCGGCGGCCGCGTCCGCCGGCGCAGCCGACTGCTGCTTGCGGGCGAGCTCCTGTGCAGGACAGCATCGACATGAAGCCCCTCCCAGGAGGGAGCGGACAATGAACAGGTGTTTCATTAAAATAATTATTACAACATATTTTACAATTAGAAGATACATTTTGTTTTTCTCCAGCTATTTTTGTACAAAATCGAAAACGGGACAGGAACTGAAGAAACTGCCGTTAAACAAGACAACAACCTCAACCACCCATCCACCAACCATCTAACTACCCAACTACCCACCCGGAGGTCCTGCCAGTACGCCGGCGGCATTACTAGGAGCACCTGCGTTATGAGGGACAACAGGAAGCCGTACGTAAGACGTACGAGTTACAAGCTATTCAAAATCCGCACAAATGCGAGGGGGCCGTCGGTTGAATCCCGGGGGGATGGGGGTGGGAAAAAGCCAACTACCTCCCCAACCCCCCATAAATCCCAGCCTCCAATCGGACGAGCATTCGTATTGTACGAAGGGTTTACTTACAAGCTTTGCAACGCCCCCAACCTCAGTGCGGCACATGCACCCTGTACCTGCTGTACGGCCCACTCGCCCACTTCGCTCGCTCACTCACCCACTCACTCACCCACTCACTCACCCACTCCGCATCCCCCCCCCTCTCCCCCCCTCCCCCCACCCGCCCTACCTTCCCTCCGTCAACCGCAAGCAGTTGCGACACGTACTCAGCCTTCCGCAGACCGTCCAGCCGCAGGAACACTAGATCACCGGACACCAGCCGCGGCCGCTCCTGCACGTGGGCAGGTAGGTAGGGGGTTTGATAGGTAGGTAGGCAGGAAGGCAGGTAGTTAGGAGGCAGACAGGGCCCACAAGTACTAGAATAGTAAAGGAGAAGGGGAAGAATAATGAGGAGGCTTCGGTGGCGTGTGGTTGACTGCGGCACTGCGAAATGGACCGGGGCATGGTGGGGGGTCGCAGCGGTGATGTGATGTTAGGCGCAGCAGGCAGGTATGTATGTATGTAGTATGTATATATGTATGTATGTATGTATGTGGGGGCAAGAAGTGGAAATGAATCACAATCACAACCGCCAAAATGGGAGATCGTGGCCGCATATAGGCCATCAGCACGTCACAGTCAGATAATATAGTACGGCAAAAAGAGACATGTCGTACCTCCACCAACCCGGGTACTTCTACCACCGCCGCCATCAGCACCGTCCCTGTTGTCGCCGCCGTCGCCGTCGCCGCCGAGGCGGCGACACTGGGGCCCCCTCCCTTCTAAGCATTGGCGGCGGCAGCACCGCCGCCGCCAGCCTTAGCCCCCCTTTGCGTCGCCGCCGCCGCCGCCGCCGCCGCCGTCGCCGCTAACCCCAAATCAACGGTGCACAGCCGCTTAAGCCAGGGGCCGCGGTACGGCCGTGGCGCTGACAGGGCCACGTCAGCACCCTCCTGCACCTCTATAGCAGCTGCAGCCGCTGCCGCCGCCACTGCGGCGTTCTGCTGTTGCTGCTGTTGCCGCTGCTGCTGCTGCTGCTGCTGCTTGCTGGCGTCGTCGCTGTCGTCGTCCGGTTGTTGCGGTTTGTCCGTTGGAAATTGCGGCCAGTTGAGTACCCTGTACGTGAGCATGTTGTCACTGAACAGCGCCACTTGCACACGGGCGCTGTAGAGGTTGAAGCCCCTGCGGGTCAGACAGCCCCCGGCAGGGTTTCCCCCATCCCCGGCGGGCCGCAGGAGGGCAACACGTCACGTGGCAGTAGCACGCGCATGCCGCATGTCTGTGTATGTGTGTATATATGCTATATGTCTGTGTGCGTGCGCTTGCGAGCGCGCGTGCGTGTGTGTGTGTGTGTATTTGCCATGTACGGCGATGAACATGAGATGAGCGAAAGGCCAGCTGGGTCGGGCTGCATGGCGCAGACCATCACCACCGTGCCTGCTGTAAGCAGTAAACTCCGGATTATTTACTTCCTCCTACATGTGTGCATGTGCATGTGCATGTGCACATACCAGCACATGGCACAGTGCTGTGTACGTGTGTTGTTCTCCACCATGGGATGCCGTGCCGGTTATGTGGTATGGGGGTTTTGTTGTGAATAAAACGACGTGTAACGTCATGTGACACATGACATGGTGGCCGCCATCCGGGGTATCGGGGCGATGTGGTCTGCGGTTACTTCGCCACGTCACGTCACGTCACGCGGACATCACGCAATCAGCAATCCAAAACAAAATTGCAAATATAGACCATCAGAAATGGCTTCGGTTGGTTGACACGACACGACGGGGTAACCATCACCCACCGTATATCACGCTCCATAACGTCCTCCTCCTCCACTGCCGTACCGCAGCAGTTCAGACCGTTGGTGGACGAGCGCCGCCATCACAGCCGCGGCGGATTTAGGCGGAGCAGCCGCCGCGGATGCCCCCTGGAACACTCCGTTAAGCATTCGAAGTGCTTTACGAAGGAACTTAGATCCCGGCGGGAGCTGCAGGGTGTGTGAGCGGCGTGAGAGAAGTTAAAAAATGGGAGTTAGGACGAGTTCCAGACAGGAAGGAAGGAGGACTCCTAGAGGTCGAGGAAAAATGTTATAAAATGTTGCCGTAATGCCGTACCGGCTAGCAACATGTGTTCCCAATCACAACGGTTACACCCCTCATGTGCCCCATGCGGCCAGGGCAGGGTCAGAACAGGGCCCTTGACCTAGGCCTAGGGCTTGAGGCTTGAGGCCCTTAGAGGATCATACCTCCAAAGCTATCATCCGATAAGGCGAACAGAAGACGGCAACTTAACAAATTATAATATTCCTTTGCGCTTTTCTGCCGAATAAAACAAAAAAGGTTAAATCATTAACACCTTTCCGAACTGTTAAATGCGGTTAACCTTTTCCTAACCACTAACTCCCAACTGTTTCCACGTGCACCATGCTTACCACCGCCGCGAGCTAGCGGACCCAAGCCGTCTGGCCGGCCTCTAGTCGCCGCCGCGGGGCTACCCATTGACCGCCACCACCGCCACCATCGATGCCGCCGTATGGCGTCCGGATGCCATTGAACCCATGGGTCACGAAACCGTTGCCGCCGCCTGCGGTGACGGCTCTAAAGGCGGCGGCGGCGGCGGCGGCCATGTAATCATGGAGGCCGTGGAGCTGCTGAACCACGGGTCGGCCCGCACCTTCCTTCTGAGCCCACTCCATCGTAGCCGCCGCCGCCAGAGCCGGAATCCCAGAGCTTGCCTCCGCCGTCGCCACCACTGAAGCTGCAGTGCCAACGGTGGCCTTCTTACCCGCTCCCACCGGGGCGGCTACTGCCGCTGCAGGCCTCAAAGTGCTGTCCATTGCGGACAACAGTGCCGACGCTGCGGCGGCGGCAGCAGACGTGGACCGGTACGACGGTGGCAATGGTGATGCCTGTCTGCACTCGAGGGAAGACTCAGGATCGACAATAGCTTTACATGCACATGTTGAAACTGGGCTTTGGGGCACATTAGGTTAAGTTGCTTCCCCCGCAAACGGTGCTGGTACTTTCAACGGTCCTCATCGGCTGGCCTCTACAGCTACATGTTGTCCATAGCTGCATTAGCGTCATGGGCCGCTTGGTGGGCGCTTTGGAAACGGAGGAGGTTGCACCATTGGGTGTGGTTGCTTCATAAGCAGTACACCCAAACATTCGGCTATCGGTGGTCAGAACCTCCGCTATGTGTCCTGCAGGTCGCACGTAAGCATCCTTTGAGGAGTTTTGGAAGAAGCTACCAGTGGCGGAGGTTGCCCAGTCTAGTCCATAATTCGAGGTCCTGAAGCTTGCAGACGGTACTGCATTCCCAGATCCTGGCCATTCTATGACTTTATTTGTTCGCCCATGCTACCACGCCCTGTCCGATAAGATCTTTGCATCTGTGGTGAAGCCTCCTATCCACTCCCGCCGAGTCCTCATTCTTGGCACACCAGGCAAGCTGTCGGGTTTGAGCCCGGGAGCTAAACTGTTCTGGGAGAGCCGCGTACAGGTGCTGTCACGCCAAAACATCTGGAGCACACAAACTATGTGCCACCATCGAGTTAGTCGCTATCCGCAGGTGGTTAGGCCAACCGAAGGTAGTTGGACGAATCTCGTCTTGATTTAGTTGAGACCTAGGGTGTTGCTTGACTAGCGTATAAGGCGCTTTCCGTTGTGGTTTGAGGATGTTCAGTTGTTGTTCATCTGTCGCTAGTCGGATGAGCGTAACGTATCCAGGATAGGGCCTCGTGTGATAAGGCCCGGCGTGGATCAGTCGATCCTTCACCATAAATGCGGGTGCGAAGAGGCCAAACATTTGTCGTTTGGCTGTGGGGAATGATTATACAATAAGAGCAATATGGGAGAACAAGGGCCGCTTGTCTATGCACTAGTGTATTACCCCGACCCCTTTGTTACCCCTTGGTAAGGGGTTACCCCTACCCCAGGGTTAGGTCACCCACCTCCCTTTGTACATAGCCACATGGGTAACCCCTACCCCTACACCCTGGGTTACGCTCAAGGGGGGTTACCCACCGTTTTATGCCATAGGGAATCCAGTGTGCGAATGTGGTCCATCAATTGTGACCTCAACTCCACATCTCAGCAGCTAGCCATAATCTCACGCTCCCGACTAATTCTGGAGTCTCCCCAGAAATCGAACCCATGGCCTTAAACCGCTAATTGCACTAGTGACAATCCAGACCAGACCTGGCCTGAACTGCATGAATGAATGAAAAGAACGTGCATGTCGACGCCCCCTACCTTGCCACACGCGTGCATGCAAGGCCTGAACTGCATGCATGAATGAATGAAAGGATCATGCATGTCGGCGCCCCCTACCTTGCTGCACACGCTCGTGCAAGGCCTGAAGTGAATGAATGAATGAAAAGAACGTGCACATTGATGGCCCCTACCTTGCCGCACGTGTGCACACAAGGCCTGAACTGAATGAATGAATGAAAGGAACGTGGACATCCTTGCCGCATGCCGTGCGCACGTGCATATGCAAGGCCTGAACTTAATGAATGAATGAAGAGAATGTGCACATCGATGCCCTCTACCTTGCCACATGTGCACACACAAGTCCTGAACTGAATGAATGGATGAAAGGAAGGGGTGTGTCAACGCCCCCTACATGTCCCTAACACATGGCTGGAACAGAACTGAAAAAATGAATGAAAGGAAGGTGTATGAGGAACCCCCTCAACGCATGGCTGCAACGGACTGAATGCATTCATTCATTCCTTCATATGAATGAATGAAAGGAAGGTGCATGTTGGACCCCTCCCCACTGCATGGCTGCAACAGAACTGAATGAAAGAATGAAAGGATGGCACATAGCAACCCAGAGTAGTATAGGCTATCCAGTAGTATAGGGTTCTGAAGCTTCAAGACAATGTTCAGATACATTTCCTGATAGATCAGTATTTGATTGGCCATTCCTCCTGACAGCAGTGAACCCAGGGGGCTCGGGCTTGAATGGCGCTTGAATTGTGCTGAAGCTGGGTAAAATTATCTAGGTAAACCTTATCGTGGCTTCTGCATAACAGTGAAGCTGTATGTGATGCAATTCGCAATACCAACCAGGAGACCATGCAGCAGCGCCACCTCTCGCACCATGTCACGCAAGGACTGCCAGACCACACCCAAGCAGCCATTCAGCAAACCCTCAGATGCAGTGACACTTCCCTATACCTTTGTAGCCCTCTTCCATGAATACAAGTTGCAGCCCTTGCAAGCAAAGGATATTTAGATCACCTCTGATGCAATCCTGAGCCTGAGTGACCTTTCTTGAAACCTAAGAGCTGTCTGAGGTTATCTAAGCATGCACCTCGGCACATAAGGCCCATTTCCGATTTTTGCCATTCATAAAGATAATGAATTGCAGCACGGAGCAGTTTTCGACAGGTACCGGAGTCTTCACGGAGTTTCGCAGGAAGGTCAAAAAATCAGACACGGTTTTGCCTGATGACCGTGAGCACGTTCTGGCAACCTTGTAGCCTCCTACACAATTGAAGCATATCTAAGCAGCACACAGGGTCCAGGTCTACATAGACATGGTGACTATTCGGCAAGCCTTGCTTTCTGTGAGGGGCGAGGATGCCATGTCCATTGTGCCAATAATAGTTGCGCTTTCGGAGTTAGGCTTTCACGTGGATGCCGAGGTTGGCGATGCTTTCTGCCTGCTGAACACGGAACAAGCAGCAGGCCTCCCTGTTCGGCAGCAGTTGGTGCTCAAGGCTGCTATCCAAGGTCCATTGTATGCAATCGTGTACTTCAAAAGATTGTGCTTGTATATTGTTCAGACCACGTGAGCCGCCTCTGCTGGCGTGAACTTGAAAGAACTGCAGATGGGATGGTTAGGAGTGTCTTGGGTGCATCAAGCGTTATGAGTGTCCTGCGAGCATTGTGCCTCCATGGTGCTGCAGTGTGTAGGAATTGTGGTTGAGAGTAGATAGGATGCACACCCTTTCTTGCTGTCATGCCACAGTGCTGATGGCGAGTTCCAAACTTATGTTTCGTAGGTTGCTAGCTCCAGATGCGCGTGCTCTTTCTGATATATCACCCTACGAAACCTAAGTTTGGAACTTGCCATCAGCATGGTGGCATGCTAGCGAGAAAGGGCGTGCATCCTATCTACTCTCAACCATAATTCCTACACACTGCAGCACCATGGAGGCACAATGCTCGCAGGACACTCGTAACGCCTGATGCACCCCAAGACACTCCTAACCGCCCAGAGGCGGCTCACATGGTCTAAACAGTATACGAGCACAATACTTTTGAAGCGATTGCATATAACGGACCTTGGATAGCAGCCTTGAGCGCCAACTGCTGCCGAACAGGGAGGCCTGCTGCTTGTTCCGCGTTCAGCAGGCAGAAAGCGTCGCCAACCTCGGCATCCACGTGAAAGCCTAACTCCGAAAGCGCAACTATTATTGGCGCAATGGACATGGCGTCCTCGCCCCTCACAGAAAGCAAGGCTTGCCGAATAGTCACCATGTCTATGTAGACCCGGACCCTGTGTGCTGCTTAGATATGCTTCAATTGTGTAGGAGGCTACAAGGTTGCCAGAACGTGCTCACGGTCATCAGGCCGGAACCTGTACTGCGGCTGCAAAACAGTGTCTGATTTTTTGACCTTCCTGCGAAACGTCGCGAAGACTCCGGTACCTGTCGAAAAATGCTCCGTGCTGCAATTCATTATCTTTATGAATGGCAAAAATCGGAAATGGGCCTTACGCGCCGAGGCGCATGCTTAGGTAACCTCAGACAGCTTTTAGGTTTCAAGAAAGGTCACTTAGGCTCAGGATTGCATCAGAGGTGATCTAAATATCCTTTGCTTGCAAGGGCTGCAACTTGTATTCATGGAAGAGGGCTACAAAGGTATAGGGAAGTGTCACTGCATCTGAGGGTTTGCTGAATGGCTGCTTGGGCGTGGTCTGGCAGTCCTTGCGTGACATGGTGCGAGAGGTGGCGCTGCTGCATGGTCTCCTGGTTGGTATTGCGAATTGCATCACATACAGCTTCACTGTTATGCAGAAGCCACGATAAGATTTACCTAGATAATTTTACCCAGCTTCAGCGCAATCCATTTCTGGGGGAGGAAGCGCCATTCAAGCCCGAGCCCCCTGGGTTCACTGCTGTCAGGAGGAATGGCCAATCAAATACTGATCTATCAGGAATGTATCTGAACATTGTCTTGAAGCTTCAGAACCCTATACTACTGGATAGCTTATACTACACTGGGTTGCTACGTACCATCCTTTCATTCATTCATTCAGTTCCGTTGCAGCCATGCGTTGAGGGGGTTCCTCATGCACCTTCATTCATTTTTTTAGTTCCGTTCCAGCCATGTGTTAGGGACATGTAGGGGGCGTCGACACATCCCTTCCTTTCATTCATTCATTCAGTTCAGGCCTTGCGTGCACGCATGCGGCAAGGTAGGGGGCGCCGACGTGCATGTTCCTTTCATTCATTCATTAAGTTCAGGCCTTGCATGTGCGCGTGCGGCAAGGTAGGGGGCGTCGACGTGCACGTTCCCTTCATTCATTCATTAAGTTCAGGCCTTGCACGTGCATGTGCGGCAAGGTAGGGGGCGAAACCTCCGAAGTTCCGGCAATCGGTACACCTGTCATTGCAAGAGCAACAGAAGTCTATCACGTATGTTTAAACTGTCTAAATAACCGTTTTGTGTAACATGACAGCAAGTCACAGCTTTTCCGCTCTGAAACAGTACTTCTCAGTGTTGCGGTTGAGCTGGAGAGCAGACCGGGTGACTTTCCTGGCTAGCCTGGTTAGCCCATGTCATTGGATCCTCGGTCGTGTAGTCTGTTCCAATGCCTACAATACGCGAAGCACTCGCTGCAGTCTGCAGAGAGACTGAAGCCACGGTTGCTCCCATCCTTCAAGCTCTACAAGCTGAAGGTTTTGATGTGGACGCTGAGGCGGGAGACGCGTTTTGTCTTCTTGACGTTAATTATCTGCGATCACACCTTAATCTCTGGCAGCTTACCACCCTGAAGGCAGCCATCAAAAGTAAGCATCAGCAAATGCTGCTGTGCACACTTGAGTGGGGTTGGCCGTGAGGCCGGTTGTCTTTTGGTAAGTCTGAAGTTTGGCTTGCGACTGATCGCCTGCAGTTTTCTGCATAAGCGAGGATTTCTGTCCTACAGCCGGTATCGTAGCCAAGAGAGGTCTTGCTGTGATGGGTGATCTTTCGTAGACCTGTGCAGTGGACGAAGCCACTTTTGCATTTCTGCAGCCGAAGGGTCACAGTTCGTTTTCAGGGCTTCATTCAAGCTTCAACGTCAGCGTATATGTGGCTGGGTGTGTCGCCTTCAGGACTAAAAGCTCCCAAGCTTGAGCTTTGTCACCCGAGTCCGTAACCTCTTGCCAGTACATCAATTCACCGAGGAGAGTGTGCCGTGTGGATGCTTTACTGCCGGCTGTAAACACCGGGGTCCTGGTGAAGCAGCTGACCATGTACTAAAGTATATAGATGTGGAAGATGCCGAACTATGTCGGTGAAACATGATGTGGCAGGAGTGGAGAGAATAGTGCAGCGGTATATTGTGAGTGTAGTTGAAGGGTTACAAGGCATTCAGCACACGGGCGAATTTACTGGGCACGTCACGTTGCAAGCTAAGCAACACGTATACATGACATGTAGCATCAGTCCTCAGTTCACTTCTTGTAACGAACATCAGCATAGGTCCAAGCCCTCTCGCTTGGAGGGATATGCAAACAAACATCATGAAAGGTAAACTCGCACACTACCGAGCACGCTACAAGCAGTCCTTGTAAGGAGCAGCATATCACCCAAAACGCTGGTGTCTGTATCGGCTGTTCCAAAAAGCTGTTCCAGCGGCACCATCTTAGGATGTCGCGGCCAACAGTATGTGGTTGTGGAGGTTATCCAGTAGGTTCAGTGGGAGGTGTATCCCCTTGCTGTCATCATTTCTGGGCCTGTCCGGTGGCACAGGCAGTAGCAGATCAACTTACTCTTTCAATAGGATTGCCAGTCTCAAGGGAGCAACTTTGGCTTGTCCAAGCCCCACAATCAGTGCAACAATGTGTTTGGGATGTTGTGGCTCTTGCTGTGGTGTCAGCCATGGAGCATGGGAGACGTTATATGGCTGAAAACATGAAAACCAACCTGGCACTGTTACCTGGCCCTTCCCTTACGGAAGAAGCCATTTGTCGAGTTATTGTTGACTTTGGGGCCGCATTCAGGGTTTCGCAGCTTTGGGAATTCCACGGAAAGGTTGGGATTCTGTTGGCGCACATCACCCCTTCTTGAGAATTATATCTGGCAAATTGCTGTGCTCACGGGAGCGGTTACCGATGAGCGGTTAATTATCTGAGGTGATGGTCTCTATTGGTATATTAGTCTCTACTGCAGTGCACGGCCAGCTGGCCCGATGGCTCTACTCTTCGGGAGTCTGGAGCCCACTGTAACAACCACATGAACATGACAAATAATGAACGTTTCACCTTCAATCGCGCAAGGCGCGCTTACGGCATCTCGCTTCGTCTTCCCCGCCATTCCCACGCGCCTATCCTATAAATGGAGCAATTAAGGTACGCTCGTCCACCGGGCGTACCCTTACGACTTTCGTGCAGCGCAGTGCTAGGGTCCTTTAGAGGTTTCAAAACACCCATGCGCACCCTAGTGGAGTTGCAATAATGACAAGCAGCGTCCGTTTCGTTGGTTGGACCTTGTCCGTGCGACCGGTTTGACGAGCGGTTCGTATTATCGTGATAAATAGTGTACAAAGGGCGAAAAAGGCAAATTGAAGCATATCTAAGGTTAGGAACAAGTTTAAGAAACTAAGAACAAGGGGGTTTGTTCTTGGAACAACTTTCATAGGGAACATAGGGGTTCCTGTTCCCAGCGATCTAGTGCTGCCCTTTAGAGGACAAATATTTTCCTATACTACCCCTAAATTTGGCAGCAACTTACCGTGTGTCCAAACCACCACCCAAATCTGCCGCCTCGGTGTAGCGGGACTCCGCCGCCGTTCACTTCTTCATGTTCTTGAATTTATTAAGATACATCAGAGGCTAGACTATGGATTGGCTCAGCCTGCGCGCGCCTTTGGAGGCGTGGCTCAAATCTGCTGGAGCTGCTAAGTTCAGCGACGAGGACCTGCGCGTGCTATGGCAGGGTGGATATAATATGCTAGACGACCTGAAGGTCGCGACCCGGGCGAGTCTCGAGCGAGCCGGGCTGAGACCGGCGCGAGTGGATCAAATCCTCAACACTCAAGGTGAGTTCCTACTGTCAATTTCCAACTTCAAAACACCGGGGTCCTGGTGAAGCAGCTGACCGCGTACTAAAGTATATAGATGCGGAAGGTGCCGAAGTATGTCGGTGAAACATGATGTGGCAGGAGAGAATAGTGCAGCAGTATGTAGTTGAAGGGTTACAAGGCGTTCGGCGCACGGGCGAATTTATGTGCATACCTTTCATCGTGGGCGCGTCACGTTGCAAGCCAAGCAACAGGTATACATGACGTGTAGCATCAGTCCTCAGTTCACTTCTTGTAACAAACATCAGCATAGGTCCAAGCTCTCTCGCTTGGAGGGATATGCAAACAAACATCATGATAGGTAGACTCGCACGCTACCAAGCATTCAACCGAGCACGCTATGAGCAGTCCTTGTAAGGAGCAGCATACCACCCAAAACCCTGTTCCAAAAAGCTGTTCCAAGCCATCAGCTGCGTCCATGTCACCCACACGGCTCTGAACGACTTTTCTGTTTTTATGTTTAATTACGTTTGTGTATGTTCTATTTTGTGCAAGTTTGTAATTTGACTTTACTCTGAACAAGGTGCTGTATGCGTTATGTGTTTGCTTGCACAAAGTGCCGCTTCACCAGATGCTTCCTCTTCCCGCGGCTGTTTCATGCGCCCAGTCTTGCAAGCTACATTGTTTGCTTTCAGTGCTTTCACTTACTGCAAAGCAGCCACCCAAATTTCCGGCCTGCATGCCATGTGCTACTGTGGCCAACATGCCCTCCTGAGCAATGCACTGAGACACTGCGGCCTTTCTTCGCCAAAAAAAGACATACACTTGCACACGCGCATTTTGCGAATTGCACGCGCGCATCCACGCGATAAAATTCGCTCCTGGCTTTGGGCCGTCTTGTATGGTCTGTTAATTTGGCACAGTACAACCGGACACAATTGTGAGAGGCTGCTTAAGAAGTACAGCACCCTGCACCCTGCCGTGCAGCTGTGCGCCCCATTGTGATAGTGGCCCGCCCTGAACACCCTGCACGTTGTCTGGCGACCGTGTCTATGATGTGCGTGCGTGCTGCATCATCATTATGTTTGACGACTTAATGCTGCTCATGTTGTACAGCGTGGGTGTTCCAGTGACCCACCCTACTCACCCTGCCATGGGCCTGCCGCCTGCAGGTGCTGATGCTGGCACCAGCAACACTGCTGCAGGTGAGCCTACTGTGCCTGACGCGGGAAGGGGGGAACAGGTTTTGTGGGCTTGGTGTGCCGTTTCATTGCAGCACTGGGCTTGAGTGTGTGCATGCCAATTACCAGCCATTACCATTGTCAGCCATTACCACCGGGAGGTACACCCAGACAGGTGCACCTGCGTGAGGTGCAAATCATTTTGCTGGGGGAAAAACAAACGCAGGGGTTGTATTTCCTTGGTACATGCACACATGCTGACTCTTTTTAGTCATATTACATTTTTAGGATATTTCCTGGGCTCCCATGACTAAAGACAACATACCAGTCGTCGTTACTATGTCACCTCACATAGCATATGAGCTCACCTGACGCACTAATCAAGCCATGTCTACACAACCTTGAATGATTGCTTAAATGATCGTGTCCAGCCTGAGTGCTGACTGCTAACTGCTGCTATGAACACGTTCCCATTGTTGAGCAACTAATGATGTCAATGGTGCATCCCTCTTGTTTCTCCTTAATGTGCAGCTGCGGCTACGGCTGGCCCAGGCATTGTTGCTGGTGAGTGTGACTGGTGGTCGACTGGGTGTTTTGCGTTTTGGAGGTTGTGGTCCGTTTGGCTTTCATGGGGTGGAGGTTCGCATCTGGTTTTGCCAGATGGTTCTTTCCCTGGTTAGGCTGTGCTTCGTCTTTTTTACATGCCCATCCTGGGCTTTTATCACCTGTTTCAGGCAATCTGCACATTCACCGGCTCAGGATATTCATTCTGGGTTGGGTGCTTTTACCGTGTTTCGTTGCAGTAACAGATGGCATAAGCCCAGTGATGTTAGTGTGCCTTGGCCCGACTAGCTGGACATGCAGAGCAAGCTATAGGGCTTACACTCTTGTGCTGATGCACTCAACTTGTTCGAGGTCTGAGGGCAGCTTTAAATCATGGCATCAAGCTTGATGCCATCCTTAAGGATGGACATGGTACAGGCAAACTTTGCAAAACAGCTCATTCCTGTTAGTGAATGCGTGATGTCTTGACACTTCGCATGAACTTCCAAATCTGTGCTTTCAGATGACCCCTACAAGATGACCGCTCATGGAGCCATGATGCGGATGCTGCCACCTATTAATCTACGAAGCAGCCCATGCTGCTCCTTTAGCAAAACATGCGGCACACGGTCGTGTACCTTTTCGGCAGTGAAACCGTGGGATAGCTTTCTGGATGAGTTGAAGATGCTGGAAGGGCAGCTGGATGACAATGAGCAAAGATTTATACCTGTGTTGCTGGCGGGTGATCAGCCAACAGACCAGGGCTTCCAGGCAGCTGCAGATGAGGCCGAGGTGCGTGCACCGATGCAGGCCATGGCTCAGTTGGTCAACTCGGTGGCAGCATCCATGCACATCCAAGGGAGGCTCAAGGGTGGAGGCAGCGGTCGCGGCATTTCATCAACAGACTACATCATCCAGCTGAGGCATGGAGACATAGGGCAGCAGAAGCAACAGCAGTACAACAGTCCCTCTTGGGATGTTTATGGATGCATTGAGGTTAAAGGTGACTGGCAGTTTCCCTTGGAGGCTCATTATGATGTGTCATGCATGCCGCTTGGGGAAATCAACCGCCTGGGCCTGGGCCAAGCGCTGCAGCAGTGCTATGGTGACATGGTGATGGATGAGGCCCCCCTAGGGATGGTCACACGGCACAATTTAGCACTGCTGCTGAAGCGCTCACCAAATGTTGCTGATAAGACTCTGTATGTGTCACCAGTCATCGGCCTGGACAAGATGCTGCTGGTGCTGCTATTCCTGCTGCAGCAGGCAGATCTGCTTGAGGGCATGAAGAAGTTGCTGCCACGTGAGGCAGTGCCCATCACACCTGGCCAGGGAGACAACTCAAAGCGTGAGCTAAAGCGGTGCCAGTCGCTAAGGTTGCAGGAGCAGCGGCAGATGAAGCAGTGGTCTGTCCTACCTGGCCAAGGCAAGGTCAGCAGGCAAGGCCCAGGCAATGGGAACCACATTAGCCTCTTCTCCGTCAAAGGTAGCAGTAGCACAAACAGCAGTGGCGGTGGCAACACCAGCAATAGCGATAATGGCAGCAGCAGTGGTATGCACATTACCAACGTCATCAATGTCCCGCTGGAAGGGAAGGTGCCAGGTGGACTTGAGCAGCTGACCCGCAAGCGCGGCAGCAAGGTGCTGCTGCCCCTAGAACTGTGTGGCTTTGGAGATGTGGGCCTCACCGGCCGGTGTGCTGGATATGGGTGCTATGGCAGCATGCTGGAGGTACGTGGGGTGGTTAGGGCAACTTAGCATAACATATGTGACATGCTAGGGGATTGGGTTGTATAGCAAGGTGAATGAGAGCTTGCTGTAGTAGCTTGTAAAAATTTCATCCACAAATACAAACCCTAAGGTGCTCCACCAGCATCTTGAGGCATTTTCAGCGGCCAGCAGCTATACTTGCATTGTTCAAGGGCTTCATGCATTGCACCAGAAGTAGAGCAGTGTGCCATATGCCAGATACTGGTTAGTGCTGACATTTGGTTATCGTGCTTCACATTCCCCTCCTCAAAAGCTCAGACCTTGTTCCGGATGCTGTTACTGTGCAGGGCACCATAGGTGGTGTGGCGGCAGTGATCAAGCTGTTTGAGCAGAAGCGACAGGGAGCCATGGAAGCCTTCACACGTGAGCTCGCTGTGTACTTGCGCCTTGGCAGCAGCATCAGTAGCAACAGCAGCAGCAACCTGCAGGGTGCCCTGCTGGTGCCACGGCTGCTGCGGTATGGCATGTTTGCACACTCAGGCGCCCTGTTCCTGGCACTGACTTATGAGGGTGACGACCTGGAGGCCGGAGCCGGCCGCAGCACAACCGTTGTTGGTGATGCAGCTGCCAGCGGCAGCAGAGGCTGCAGTTTGCAGTTTGCGTGATGCCAGGATTTCACCAAAGCTGCGCACTGCAATGCTGCGAGCACTGAGGGTGCTCCACCGGGCAGATGTACTGCACAGGGACATCCGCCTGTCCAACTTTGTGATGGGGCGGGATGGGGTTGTCAAGCTGGTTGACCTGGGGAATGCCAAGGTGGTGGGTGGCTTGGAGGCAGGCAGCAGCAGCTACCAGGCGGCGATGGAGGCCGAGGTGCAAGCCGTGCAAGCTCTTTAGTCTATGATGTGACATACACAAGTGCACACTATTGCACACAACGGTGGGGTCTCTTGTGAATGGAAGGTGCAAGTCGCCAGGGTCATAGTGACACCCTGAAGTAGGTAGAGTAGCAGGGGTATACATAGTGTTACAGAGCTGGGTGGTGATGGGAGGTGGGGATGGGTTTGAGGTGGTGTGTGACTCTGCTGCCAACCAGCCTTGGCAGGTGAGGTTGGCTGGGGTGAGCGGGGTGTTGTTGTGTGAGCATACTAAAATCCCAATAGAGCATACCTGCATCTGCTACCATAGTGCTACTTATAGTTCGTGATCGCTTTGTTCGGGGAGGGGTCAAAAACTTTCTGAAATTTGTACGTGCTCTTTGAATTTTGGGGAAGGCTGGACCAGATTTTGTGGGCATGATACAAATTTCGGGGCCCCTTCCAAAGTTTCGGGGTTTTTCAAACTGCAGCTTCCAGTCAGTCTCCCTCCACCGGAAACCCTTAGGCTCATGGTCTCTCACCATTTTCGCACTTTGGAAACGCCCTAGCAAATTCTGGACCGATCGTACAGTTCAGTACCAGTGGCAACGACCTAATAACCAACCGGCCGGGCCAATACAGTGTTTGGGTGGTTGCTACTGAAACGTGTCTTCATGTGGCTGAAACTATATTTTATGTATTTAAGAGCTGATTTCTGCCTTGAAATCCTAGTTTTTGTGAAGTTTGATCGACCGGCTTGGGATACCTTAGAATTTGTACGTGCTACATATTGGTGGTGCCTCCCGAATTATTGTAGCACGAACTATAAGTAGCACTACGGTATCACAAGTAGTTTGTCTTGTTTGAGGGGTGCAGTGGCACAACCTTCTCCCTCCTCCCTGCCATGTTATGGAGGTAGCTATCTTTGTGGGTTGGGCTTTGGGACAGCTTTATTTTGTGTTCTGGTGCTAGGAGTTTTGCTGAGTGCTCATCTAGCGTTTTGGGCCTGGATTTGGCTCCACCCATAGGGCCAGCATGCTGTGATGGCTTCAAGGGTAGGGCCAGCATGCAGCAGGACTTGAGGCCAGTACTTTTAAAAGGGGTTACTGGTGACCAAGTGGTTACTGAGAAAATAATTCCCTTCAGGAAGGTGGTCACTAGGATGTTTTTGGAGTCACCTGCAAGTAACCAGGTGGTCACCAGGAAACTGGGCTGAAGGCCACCCCATAGTGAGCATGGGTTCTATCTGTACATACTTCTGTATATACAAAGTAAATCATTATATAAGCATCATCTCGGCTGTTTGAAGCTGTGAATTAGCGAACATGACTGAATTTATACACATGAGTGGCAATTCATGATCGGTCATGCCACGTAAGGAGCATGACAACTTTCATGACCATGACTATGCCTTATGACCTGTAGCATGACCAGTCATGAGGCCTCATGAGTGGTCACGAGGCAACATGACCAGGTCTATGACAGATAACCCCCCATATGACCACATCTTAACTACACCTCATTTATATTCATGATACTATGACCAAGTCGTTCCCCAAGTGAGCGTTGTGAAATCAGATCTTTGGATGTATGGTTCCAGTGAGCTCCTCTTCAGCTTGCTTGCTTTGGGAAAATTCCGGTGGTTTCCGAGGAAAACCCCCACAGTATCCACTTGGTCACTTGGTCACTAAAACATTACCATCGGTAAAATCACTGCTTGCGGGGTAGGCAACTCCCTATGGCAGCCAAACTGCGTGTTACGGCCCCCCCCCTTAGCAACTGGACTAGTTACTCCTGAGCCCCGTAGCGACCCCGTAGCGACCCCGTAGCGACCCTGTAGCGACCCCGTAGCGACCCCGTAGCGACCCCGTAGCGGGGCAGTAGCGGCCCAGTGCTCCCACACGAGCTACTGCCCCGCCACTGGGCCGCTACTGGGTCGCTACTGGGTCGCAACCCGTCTCCTGAGGAACTAGTCCAGTTGCTAGGGGGGGGGCCATAACACGTCGTTTGGCTGCCATAGGGGTAGGGATGTATGTGTGGATTCATAATTTTACATATACACGTCGCCTAGCAGCAGCTACATGCATACGAAATTCCCAAGTCCTGCTATGTAACAACATTAAGCCATATGCATTGCCTGCTTCAGCTGAAGCAGCTGCTGCAGCTGCAGCTTCCAAACAATCTGCAGCTTCCAAACAGCACCAAACATTTCCACAACAGCAGCTGCTGCAGCTGCAGCTCATCGATCTGTCAACAATTTGCCTCAAAACATGCTACATTATAGCTCAGAAGCGCTCTATCCACCCTTACACTTTCTGGTATTCATGCCTAGAAGAAGTCCTCCATCACCGTCAGTTAACACTCCAAGACAAGTCTGTACAGTGACTGTACAGTGCAGCAGCGCTGCTGCTAGCAGTAGCTTCTCCACAAGCGGCTTGTGAGCCTGTATGCAGCAGCTGCTGCAGCAGAAGCTTCGAAACAGCTCCAAACAGTTTCATATTGGGTGCACCCAGCTGCAGCTCATCCATCTCTCAACAAAATTTGCCTCGAAACATGCTACATCATAGGTCACATGCACTATCCACCCTAACACCTTCTGGTAGTCATGCCTAGTATTAGTCCTCTATCGCCGTTAGTTAACACTACAAGACATTGCTGCAGCAGCAGTCCTCCACAAGCAGCTTGTGAGCCTGTATGCAGCAAAGATCAGGCATGGGCATACAGTAGCACCTTTGTCAGACCATCATGAACTGCAATGACTGTGATGTGGAACTTAGAATGCAGTTTTTTGCCACACACACCTTACTACTGCTTTAATCTTCCACTGACTCTGCGTGCTGTGTGTGGTGGGGAAAGCATGTGGTGTTGTCCACAGCAGCTGCAGGTTGCTGGGTGGGCCCTGTAGACAGACAAACATGCCCATCAGAAATTAAATACGCCTAACCCTGTATAGGAGACTCCATACAGAATATATGCAGCAAGAGGTAATTTGACACAAAATCCAAAGAAACTGCAGTTGCCCTTGTTTGCTTGCACATGAATGACAATTATCCCCCCTCAAAATCAGGGGATCCCCAACCATCTGTCAATCTCAGAGTGATGGACGCAACTGTGTAGATAACTGTAGTCACAGCTATCACCTCCCAAGCAGAAAAAGCATGCCCGGGAACCGAACTCAGGTCGGAACTAGGATACTAGCCTATACCAACCCGTTCTATCATGACTTCCCCAGAGAACATCTCACCAATCCCAAGTCTTAGCTCCGTGTATGACCTAGTAACCAACATACTTGCTCAACGGCTTCTTCCTGTTTGAACCTGGGTAGTTGCCTTAATCAACCTGTTACATCATGATTTCCCCCAGAGAACAACTCACCAGTGGTCACTATTCATGTGTCATGCTTCGTGATATGAGCCAGTAGCCAACATACGCCTCCATCCTCAACGGCTTCCAAACCGGCACCCATATCTCAGGCAGAGCGGCATCATGCTTATGTCACCTTTCTTCATCGTAGGCAGAGCTTTGGTGGATGATGCCGTCTGCAGCTCCCGTTTCTCGCTTCTGTACACATGCCTGCTGAAGCAAGTTTACCATATGTTGGTCTGGTCTGGGTTGACACTACTGCAATTAGCGGTTTAAGGTCCTGGGTTCGATTCCTGGGGAGACCCCCGAATTAGTCGGGAGCGCGAGATTATGGCTAGCTACTGAGATGTGGAGTTGAGGTCACAGTTGATGGACCAGATTCGCACGCTGGATTGGTGGCGATTGCCGAACCCTCCGTCTCTTCGGGTGTTCGGGTGAATGGATGAGGAGGGGTCCCTGAAGGCTGGATCCGCCGCCTTGGACTTACAGTTCGTATGGCGAAGTACAGTGTGGTAGTGGTGGATGGTGCTATAAGGTGATAAATGATCTAGAACTGACAATGTGATAAAGCGGCCCAGAAGCTTCCCACTCTGTAACATTACATTACATTACATTACATTACATTACATATGGGGTTGCAACCCCCTCATTTGAGTCCCGCAGATCATGCAAGCAAGCAGTTGCAATGTCTAGCATGCAAGCCCAATTTTACTACTTCTCATGAGACAACATCATACCTTGGGTTGTTGCTTGGGTTTGGTGCTGCCCAGGTGTGCAGCCATGGCATGAGGAGCGTGGTAGCGATGGTGAAGTCCTATGTTGCCAAGTTGCCATAGAACTCGGCAAAGTCGTCATATTTCATTCCACTGACGGCCAGGAATTCCTCAAACGCTTTGGTGGCCTTATCACCAGCAGCACTGCAAACGTTGCTGGGCACGTTTAAAATGTACCGCTCATCTGATGAACCAGTGCAATGGCTGATGATGCCACTCACTTGTCATTCGTGGCTGC